TTAAGGGAATGGGCCCAAGTCTCTGTGAAGCTTGTGGAAGGGTTGGATTAGGGAATTGAGCAAGTTGGTGTTGAGACCAAAAATTACCCTAGATTTCAGTGATGAAAGGTGGAGGTGATCTAAGGATGGTGAGGATGAGTTGCCTTAATTAGTGGGAGGAGTTTTGGTGTTGGGAGCAAGGGGGCTAAGTGACTGCTTAGGGGGTTTGGTGTGGTGTTGAGGGGCCCGGGTCAAGGCTATTTGTAGCAATAGGAGGCCAGGAAAAGAGTTTCTTCGTGCATGGGGATCTGTGGTGGCTTCTCAGAGCATGTGTAGAGGATTTACAGAAGGTTTTGGCATAGAGAGGGGAGCTTTTCCAATTTCTGAAGTGTTGGGCATTATGATGCCAATTAGGGTGACGCCGGCATGGGAGAGTGTTTAGGCCAATTAAGGAAGCCTTTTGGTGAGTTGCTAAGATCAGGTTTGGTCTGGTTTGACCCACTATGGGCTGGCCCAAGAAGCCAAGACCTAGGTGCCATGTATTGAGTGGCATGGCCTGGTGTGTCAATTTTGTCCTTTAGTGCTTGAATTTAGGTTAAGTTATTTTAATTTAAAAATTATGTCACCCATATGCCATAATGGGATGAGCTTGTGTCATGAGTAACCCATGAAGAATTGGCCATGAGGGAGATGGGCCACTGGAGTGATAGACCATTGGCTTTGGATTTTTGGGTTTAGGGATAACCTAAATGTGCTTAGGTTTAGCCCAAAAGCCTAAGCCTAATGGGTTTCCATAATTTACATAATTAAATAATTTGATAAATTATGGAGGTTGGTATCATGGTGTTAATTTGACCCCTATGTGGTTTGAGGTCTTAACCATTTTGAGCGGGGCTAGGTTTGGATGTAATGAGGTCAATTTGTCCACTAATTGACCAAAATTGGGTTGGTAACCAATAATGCTTGCAAACCATAGGAGTCAAATTGGAGTGTAGGAATTTTATATTGATTTTATGGTTAATTGGAAGGCCTTAGTAGAGGCTAAAGATCAATTTCGGTAGGTGTTCCTTCCCTTTGGAAAATTTGGTGTCATGGGGGGTCCTAGGTTCCATAGAGAGACTCTTAGGATTTTGGGTTCCATGGGTGATCCAGAGCACACCTTACTAAAAAATGGTCATCTTGGATCTTTATTAGGCCAAAACCCTAAAATAACTCAACCAAGGGGTTGAGGGTCTGGGTCTAACCTCACAAAGCCCAATTGAACAAGGTCTTGGTTTTGGGGCTCCATGTAGGTGAGTAGCTCCTTTGGTGATTTAGGAAGGCTACTAGGGCAGCCCCATGGTCAAGTCTTTAGGTTTCTAGATAGAGTGGGAAGACCTACACAAAAGTGAGGTGAACAACATGCAAGCATATGAGATCCAATTGACATTGAAGAAGAATCATAATGATCTCACGGGATCTACAGTTAGAGATGATGTTGTAGCTGTTGTTTTGTTACACAATGTAATAAATTGGCCTGCCTCTAATTGTCTGACATGAGGTGAAAGAAATCTTCCATGGGAGAATGTTATCATGTACATCACACTCACGACCAAGGAAATGAGAAACAAAGAAGGTTTTCTCATTTTTTAACCCTAAATGGCCTCAACCCATTTATCAAGAGTTGAGGCCACCGAACAACTACAAGATTGTTGTGCTCCCGTGCAACTAGGTCAAGGTTCTAAGGGGAGATGGAATTTTCGTTAGTGGATTCGTAGGGGAATCACAAAAAACTCCAAACCTATGGGGCCTCCTCAACCCCAAAACCCATAGTACTTGAATCTCTAACATCAAGACCTAGGAGCTCATTCTAAGGGGAGATGGGATTTTCGTTAGTGGATTCGTAGCGGAATCACAAAAAACTCCAAACCTATGAGGCCTCCTCAACCCCAAAACCCAAAGTACTTGAATCTCTAACATCAAGACCTAGGAGCTCAATAGAAAGGAAGAACAAGAGTTTTTGAGAGTTTTTCACCTATGCAATGGTTCCTCAAAATGTCCTCTTTAGTTGTCCGCACTCCAACTTTACTAGGAAGAGGCTCTCCTTCCTCTTTAGGGGAGATGACGCTAAGCTACCTCCTTAGGAGAGATGAAGCTATCCTCCAAGAAGCTTTCTCCGTAGGATTCCTCTCACAAGAGCTTCTCTAAGACTGCTCCCTCACACACTCAAAGGTAAGATGGAGGAAGAGGAAGAAGAAGTGCAAGAGATCTATTGTAGAAGAAGAAAAAGAAGAGGAAGTAGTGGCTAGAGGGAACAAGACATTTTCCTTACCTTTCTCCCAAGCTCTCAACCTCAATGGCTCTAAGAAAACACTTTAGCTCAAATGGTACTACATTTCCTTCAGCCGAAAACCAAAAGGAGACTCCATTATAAAGAAGCCAGGGAAGAAGAAACTCTTTTTTCCTCTTCTTCTTGCCAACAATGGCATGTAGATCTACGCCCAAAACCCCCTAAGTACCAAAAGTGTCCCTTTGGCCCACTTTTTGCCTCCCCAAGGCATATCTCCCCATAAATCAAGAAAATCTACATTTTCGACTGCTTTGGGGCTTGTTCTGGGGTCAAAATGGTGAAACTCTCAAGAAAAAAAGGAGCAAAAACTAACCTTTTACCTTGGTGCTAAGTCTCTAACATCTAGGCACTTAGTCCCTAGTGCATATTTTCTGTCTTCTCGGGTTTCCAAAGATATTTTAGGCTGTTATGGGCGCCTAGTCACCAGAATTGACGCTTAAGTGTCGGGCTTGACGCTAGGTGCCAGTCCTGCCGCTTACTTTCTCAAAGGGGGCACCTACTTTCTTTAGAGGTCTGCCGAGGCTGTTCAGAGAGCTTAGGCCCTCAGGACTGGCGCCCAGTCTGACGTCGAAAACCCAATTTTTGTTGGAAGCATCTGAAGATGGGTTTTAATGAACTGTAAGCTATGAGAGAACAAATATGACTAAAATATAGCTCCATAAATTCAAAGATATGAATTTTTAAAGGCATTGCATCATGAACTTCAATGCCAACTAACACCTCAAATCACCGGGTGGGTGCGACACACTAAACCCTGATCTCCCCGAAAATGCGCGTAGAAGGCTTTTTTGGGTTCATTGAGCTACGATAGATTACCTATGTATGTTATATGCTCCCATAACTTTCAAAAGAGCGTCCAAATCACAGTAACATCAAAAATTGATGCCAACAACTAGTAGTGATAACAAAGCAGATGGCGGGCGACGACAGATGATGAAGGACGGACAACGGACAACGAACGAAGGATGAAGAATCGCGAGTTACAGGTAGCGGCGGGCGGTGATAATAAGTTGGCGAACAACGACATCGACGGGCGGCAGTGGAGACATGCTGCGATTAGTGCCAACCAACTGATAACCTTTTATATTAATGAATAATAAAAATCTCAACTTTTGTCAAATTAGTTGAATTCTAAATTCAACCAAAATAAACTAATGTGCAAACCTAAAAATCATTCATACTCTAAATTATATTTATAATTCTTCGTATCAAGCACTCAATTGCCTAAAATTCTTACAAAAATATTACAGTACACTACAAATTCTCTCATCAAACAACCCCTTACTTACGTCCTTAACACCACAATCAAAGTTCATACCTGACTCAACATGATCATAATCAATAGCAAAATCTATTTTAAAAACCTTTCTTAATGTTTAAAACATTGCTTTATGTTTAATTGGTTTCTAATTAGTTTTAATGAGAATTGCTATGAAGTTTAATAAAAACCTTAATCCCTTTTCAATTGGGTGCATTTGCATTGATACCTCACAATTCTCAAGTATTTACATATCGCACACATAAATTTACATTTTACACACATAGCATTCAAATATTATAACATCACATAAAAAATAAGACAATTACCACTATTTGAAGTGAAATACATTTTTTCATGCATGGATTTAAACCTTCGAATTGCTAGATATGCAAATACTAAAGTTTAGTTGTTAGATGTATAAATACATAATGATTATGTGCTACTTATATAAAAAAATAAGCGAAACTAAAATAACTGAAAATTTTTAAGTGCTCAAAATTGAAATAAAAATTGATTTACAAGGGCATTTACATAAATACCACCCAAATTTTATATATTTACATATCAAACACCTAAAGTTAGCTGTTTATATTTATATCAGTCAAATCTTCTCTATCACATCAATAGTACAGCTAATTTAAATTAAAAAAAAAAGTGAAATACTTTACATAAGAGTTGGGTGATATGTTTGTAATTCTTCCTTTATTTGTTATTTTAAAAGTATTTTTGAGCTCTAATTGGGAGAAAAATTTGCATACGGAAGACGTACGTAGCGCTGTGTATATCAGGAGATTATATAGAGAGTATTGGGTGATTATATCATGTTATATCTCCGATATTGAGGGGGTTATATCTGCGTTATCTGTCTTGTAATCTCCCATACCTGTAAACTACAAATATATGAAAAAAAAAGTACTACTTACTTGCATGTTACAGGGACAATGGGGCATAAGGTGCATATAACCCCCAATATCATACATAGTGGTACATACATAAGACGAACTCAAATTTCTCTCCCTAATTAGGCGCTGGAGCATCAAAAACAGTTTTATTTACAAAATTTTCAGGATAATTACACTGAAATGAGAAGCTTTTTAAATATTTAAATGATTTCCTCCTCAGTTAGCTAGCTACAATGCATCACATACATAAACATGACTCATCATCATAAACAGCCATCATACTTGCTGGTGATAGCTAGAAACAAAACTGCAATCTTTTACCGCTGAATATTAAAAAACAAGAACAGCAGCAGCAGGCATAAGCAGCAGCAGCCACTGCTGGTTTCAGAGCTGTGCAGATGGCAGCGCCCCTACGCCTATCTCTATTCAAATCACGATTTTTTTTCCCCTTCTTTTTTAAAGATTCGCAGGCATACTTCTATTCTTCTTTTAAACAATAGCAGTTAATAAAGTTAAAAAAAAATGGCAGAGGTTCTGCGCTCTGTCTCCCTTTCTATCTCTCTCTCTCTCCACTGTGTTTCCCTTTTCCTTATTTTATTTTACGCATTGGCTGGCCTGGCGCCTGGCTTGGAGCGCTAAAGCTTTCTCCTTTCTCTTGGAAAATGAGCGATTGGGAGATGAGATGAGATGAGATGAGCCAATTAGGGTTAGGGTTGGTTTGCTAACTTTCGTTTCTTGCTTGGGTCTTCTTCCTCGTATTCTTCTGCGCTGGTCTGATGCGGGAGGGATTAAGAGTGCTGGCTTAGTGGAAAGAGGGATTTTTGAGCTTTTCTGGCTTGTTTGCGCTCATCTTTTGGGTAAAGATTGGGGCTTTGGATAAGATGGCGACGATGGGGAAAGATGGGAAATCTCAGCAGCTGGAGCTGCAGCAGATTGATGCGGGGAAGTATGTAAGGTACACGCCGGAGCAGGTGGAGGCGCTTGAGAGGGTTTATATGGAGTGTCCTAAGCCGAGCTCATTGAGGAGGCAGCAGCTCATAAGGGAGTGTCCTATACTCTCCAACATCGAGCCCAAGCAGATCAAGGTCTGGTTTCAGAATCGCAGGTAACGCTGAAGATTGTTGCTCTGCACTTATTTTCAATTTCAAGTTTGATCTTTGCTGAGTTCATTCATGCAACTGCTTTGAATTTATTGTCGTTATAGTTTTTAAGATTTGGGTGCAGTTTGTATTGTTTGGATTCCTTTTTTTTTTTAAGAGCTTGCTTTGAAAAATGTAAGATCATGAATTCATCTCATTTTGATTTGATGGAAAGTGTAAATTTTGGATTTTTATTGTCTGTTTATATATTTTATTTTTATTGGTATTTTAACTTCTTATGTATTCGAAGCCGCATGAATGGCTTAGGTCTTTGGAGCATTTTTTTTCCCCAAAAACACAGTTCTTGCTTAGATGATTATATAGAACTATTTATACAGTGAAAAGGTACTGGATCTTCTTCTTCTGTAAGTATAATGTTCTTTGAAGTGTTTGCCATTGATTTATGCTGCTATGAGAGCTTTTTAATGGACTTTAATCTTCTCTGACAACATTTTGGTAGATGGTGTTTTCTTAGACAGCAAATTTGCAGTTTTTTTTCCCACAGTTCTTACATAATGTTCCTGCCTTGTTTTTTTTAAAAAAATTTCTACCTTTTGTGGGGGAGATGTAATATATGATGTTGAAGAACTATAATGCAGACAAAATCATTCAATTCCATCAGTCTAAACAACCATTTAATGATCTTCCTTTGTTAGTCTATATATAATGGTTTAGGGGTGGAACATAAAAATTGCATTTTTCTTGAAGAGTTTTATTTGTTATTGCTTTTGTTTTGATGTCTGAAAAGTTGGGATCAATTTAGGGGCTGTTTGATATCCTGTTTTGACCAGGATTTAAGCAAGATTTAGGAACTGTTTCGTATTGTCTTTTAATTTGATTTATCACCAGATTTATCAATTACAGCCAAAAAGCAAGATGCAGGAATTCGGTGGATTTACGGTTTACTATATTCAATTTTGCCTTTGATTTGGCCTAAATCTTGTATTTAGTAAGTCCGTGAGTTTGGTGGATTTATGGATTTATCCTTAGCTTAAGTCCCACCAAATAGATTTATTTGGTATTTTAAATTTCATTTTGATATATTCCACTTTATCCATGCTATTCTTTAAAGCTTCAAGTTGTTTAATCCCAACGTTCATTGAATTTAGGGTCCGTTTGGGGCAACTTATAAGTGCTGCATGCGGCGGCGTTTTCAAAACGCTGCCTCACTGTTTTTTTCTCGCGTTTGAGGGGAGTTTTTAAAAACCGCGTTTCCTGATTTATATTACACACGGACCGCACGAGGAGCCCCGCGGTCCGGCGTTTTCTTCAACATTTGACGTTGTTGCCCCTTATTCGCGTCTGCCTTCCTCCCGACTCCGCTCAAAAACCCTCGCCCACTTCCCCTTCCTCCCGTTTCCGCCCAAAAACCCTCGTGATCGAACCCCATCGCTTCCTCTCACAAAGAAAAACTTACCTCCGTTGGTTACACAACTCTTTTGCTATCATTGGCGCCTCCCGCCTTTCGCCTCCCGCCTCCCGCCTCCCGCCTCCCGCCTTGCCTAAGATATAGTCGCTCTCCTTTTCCGGTTATTGTAAATTTCATTTCAATGATTTCTTT